GGGATCGTCCTATGCTAGGTTTGTTATACCCAGAAAACCTGTCCGGAGAGTGGATGGAGACATCGGGAGAGCGTTATAGACTCGTTGCTCGAGAATAATCGTACATAATGCGCCCAAATCCGAACCAGATTCGGCACGACATACATACGGTTCACCTGGGGTTGCCGCTGTAAGCCTGATGGCAATTGGACCCAAAACCTTGCGGGACGACTCCGCGTCTCGAGTTATAGAGCTCTCTAGATTTCGAATCGTCAAGTTTTCGCGGCGCTCCTTAGTCCCAGCTCGCGACCCTCATGTGGTCATGTTGCACCCGCCGCCTGCCCCCCTCTGCTTGCTGTGCTACAGGCGCTTGAGCTGACCTTGAATCCAGGTAGGCAGGCGCCCGTTAAGCGCGCGAGGAAATGAGCGAGCGACAAGAATTGAACACGCCTAGTCCACACGCCTCTCCGTCGGGCGCTTCCAGTTGAACTCGGAGCGCGTCGTCCGCCTCCAGGACGCCGACTCTGCCTTCTCCATCCCGGACTCTAGGTGGATGGTTCAGGGGATGTCGCGCTCGTGGGCAAGTCAAGGAGGCTGTGCGGAAAATCTCTTGCGCGCTACGCCTTTCCAGATTGCACGATGCCAAGGCCGTGGGCGAACCCCTCCTCTCCACAACTTCGCCTGTGGTGGGACAAGTACTCGTCGAGGCAACAACATTGTCTGGTGTTCATCAGACTGGTTAGAGCATTCCTACCGAAAACAAATGATTGCACATGTGAGCGTTTCCTGGCAGTGCTACCTGTGCACTTAGCGTGGTAAACCTGGGAACTGAAGGTCAAGTGAACGAATACATTTGTCAGCAGACGTGAAGACAGTGTAGGATATGTGGAATCTATATATAGTTCATATATAGCGCGAATCTTGATAAATGCCTCACGTCGTCCGTTGTCCTGCTCATCCTCGTGCCACCAAATCCTCCAAACATTGGCTCAACCTCCCCTACTATAGGGTGCTCGTGGCGACCCAGTGAGCACATTAATAGCCATGTTCCTTAGGAGTGTACTAATTACTCCTACTCCCCTAGTGCGCGCGCACAATGCGCCTTCTCGACACGGAGACCGGTCGTTTTGTTGAGGTCGCCAATACCACTGGAGTCCGCTATGCAATCCTCTCACATACCTGGGATCCGCAGGGAGAGCAGACCTTCGCAGAGGTTAAGGAGATACAGAAGTCGTATGGCATTAGCAGGCCTTATATTCCGTCGCCTCAGGAACTCCCTCCCATCACGCGCAACCGATCTCATTCTTTCCGGTCGTATCGCGACGTCTCCCTGACGTCTTCCATATCTCCCATCTCACCCGTATCGCCCACCTCTCCCCTTACCGGTTCCGACGACGACAGTACTGTAGACTCCTTCTGGGATGATCCACGACTATCTTCGAAGATCAAGCAGGCTTGTTCAGTTGCTCGCTCGCACGGCTACACCCTGATCTGGATTGACTCATGCTGCATCGACAAAACGAGCAGCTCCGAGCTGTCGGAGACCATCAACTCCATGTATCGTTGGTACCGCGATTCCCACGTCTGTTACGCTTTCCTTTCAGATGTCGTCCACGGCGGTAACCCCCTGGCGCAGGACTCACACTTCCGGAGGAGCAGGTGGTTCACGCGCGGGTGGACCCTCCAGGAGCTCATCGCGCCTCGCGTCGTAGTCTTCCTTTCGCAGGAGTGGGTCGCTTTCGGCACGAAGGCTACGCTGGCGACTGTCATAGAAGAGATCACCGGTATCGATGTCGTGGTGCTGACGCTTCGGCGCTCCCTCGACAAGGTCAGCGTTGCTACGCGCATGTCCTGGGCATCCGAGCGGATCACGACGAGGGACGAGGATCGTGCCTACTCGCTGCTGGGAATCTTTGACATCAAGATGCCTGCGCTCTATGGGGAAGGCGCACGCGCATTTATCAGACTACAGGAGGAGATCCTGAAACGCATTCCAGACCAAAGTATATTGGCATCTGGGAGCGTCTCCCCTTCACTCTTTCCCCTCAAAAGCCAGGTTCCCAAGCTGACCCGCCAAGGACATACTAGCCCTCATAGCTCTCGCTTCGTACGCGGTGGTAGCTCCCCTCGTTTCGGTTTCCAGAGCTTCGAGCCCGACGCTTTCTCGCCCATCACAGCATCTAGCTTGCTAGCTACCAGTCCTACACAGTTCAAAAGCCACCACCATGCGTGCATCCCGCTCTCGTACGGCGACTTCATACTCCGCCTTGGGCGTCCGGACATGGACATACCCATCCCTGAGTACACGCACTCATCCTACGGAATACGTACCCAGCTTCCTCTTCTCCGCATCGCAGACTGCTTCGACACCACCCTGATGGAATCTTACGACTCTTCGCAGACCGAGTGGTACCTCGCCATCCTCGCCTGCAGATTATCAAGCCCAGACGGATACGTGCTGGCCCGCATATGTTCGGTGCACCGGTCCGTGTCTGGCCTCAAGTTCCTGCAGTATGGCTGTGTACATGCATCAAACCTGTGTTCCGACGACACTCTAGTCAACGGCACCCCGCGATGGCACCTGTTCTCGTTCTCACAAAGTGACATGGAGGCATGCCGGCGCCACCTACGCATCGAGACTGTCTATCTCCCATACGACGTTCCGGAGGAATCCTTCCTGCCGGTGTCCCTGCTCGCAAAGGACAGCTATCTTTTCTTCGGAGACACGCAGCACGTCACCATCTCGCTCTCGAGCTTAGCGCACGCGGTCCTGCTAGGCCAAGGCTATCGCGTCGACTATCGTGATCCTAGCCAGTACAAACCCTGCACTTACTATCTCTGTCTCGCGAAGCACCGATCTTATATCCATATCGAACTCGAGTTTGTGCAGGACGAGGGATTTTTCGGCAGCTTCCGTGTCACTGCATGGGTGGTTGATTCACCTGACGACCCGGAGGCAACGGCGGTTGGCAGTTCCCCATGGACAACGCGTCGGACTGTCGCGTGGGCCGACGGTGCTGGCATCCCGGACATTGAGCTGAAGACCGCGAAAGGGAACGACATCGTCGTCTCTGTCACGTTAGACGAGTCATTAGAGCCAGGATATGGCTCCTATCAGCTCGGAGTGGAGGTGTCGGACTTGAGCTTGGACGATGACCCACCGTCATCCACCACAGAGGCAACTGCGCTCCTCGCAACTGAAGGAGCAGGTAGACGGGAGCCCGCTGGCAGCAATGACGCTGACCGCCACGCCGCGATCGGGGTTGTGATGCACAAGACCTTGTGGGAAGAAGATGGCAGGGACATCAGGAGAAGGCAACAGGTGAAAGAAGGGAACAGTATTCGACAGGTAGGGGTTGGAGCGACGAATGGCCTTGGTATATTGAAACGTCTTCGGGGGATTTTTAGATCAACTAAACTGCAGACATTGACGTAGCATCATCACGTTTCCCGCGAGCCCAGATACCGGTACCTCTGGATTGACCTGTACTGTATCTACCAAATGAGTAGTTTCGAGCCATCCGAAGCGACTGACTCGATGTTTCGATCATGCGCTTGCGCCAAGATGTGCTGAAATCAAGCGGTACGTATATCCTGTTATCTGTGTCAATCAATCAATGTAGTGAAGAAGCCTCCAAGTACATGCAATGACACGTAACGCGCCATGGCACACATATAAGTCACCATCCGAGGTCGAAGCGCTCCAGGAACACGGCCGCATCAACGGAGCGCGACTCCCTCGCCTGCGACGTCGGCCTAGTAGACCCCGTCGTGTCTCAATGCCTGGCGTTTCTGGCTGACCGTGCTGTTGTTCGAGCCGCGTATGTCAGGGTGTGCGTTGTCGTCGGCCCCCAGGGCCAGGACAACTGGGGCTTCGGCAGCCCGAGCGCGTCGCCTCGCACGTTTGCGTCGCCGTTGGTTCCAAATGGACCGACGCTCTTCGTCCTCTTCCCACTCGAGCAGTACCACAGGTGTGGCTTCCTCCACTTCGACAACCCCGGTGATCTCAATGCGTAAGAAGTAGTGCGACGGCGCTGCGAAGTCCAAGCCGAGTTTAAGGGCGATCTTCTTTCCTGCGAGGGTGAAGGCAACTTCCTCTGTGCCTCGACCGCACGAGGATCTTCGCCGGAAGGGACATCGGCAAGGTGAGCGTAGCACACCTTTGCACCGCCGTACCACTGATATATCGAGTTGATCAATTCGGACAATTCGGAGCTGCTCGCCTTGTCTATGCAGCACGAATCGATCCACAGGTAACGGTAGCCAGCCTCGAGTGCCACTCTGCAGGCCTCTCGGATCTTCCGCGAGATTTCGTCATCATTCCAGATGGGGCTACTCGTCCGCGTGAGGTTGGAAAGAGAGTGGGAGGACGGGGAGCTGGGACGTGAGGTGTAGAGGGACCTCGATAGCGCGCCTGGACGATCTTCAGTTCGTCGTAGGTCTGCTCCCTCTGCCTCCATGTGTGTGACAGAATTGCGTATGTCGTCTTCTCCGGGTCCTGCTCCACGAACTGCCCAATGTATGTGTCCAGTAAGCGCATGGCGATTCTGCGAGGTTTGAGAGGGGGGATCTGTGAGCGGGGCGCAAAGAAAAATGTTAAATGTCTACGGACACGTAGGTATGGCTCGGTGCTAGACGAGATAGATGCAGGAACCGTTGTGCGAAGGTTTTCAGGTTGGGAACGGGGAGATCGCATTGACTGGCCGTGACTGAAGGGTTGGCGACATCCGACCGCATGACAGAGGATCATTGCGGGGTATATAGACAGAAAATACGACGCTAGACATGACTTTAATGCTTTATAGCCTGAGTAATGATACTAGTGGAGGCAATGCACCCAACACGCCGCGCTGAACGCGGCGAGTCATATATCTCCCATTTAAGCGCCTGTTCAGGCTGATGGTGGCTCTGGAGAACAACTCGCTCCTCCCTCTCACCTCCGCACTCTACGCTTATGGTTTTTCTCACCCCCCTGCTCGCCGAGTTGGATGCTACGACTCCTCTGCTATCGTGCACACTTGCGATGATTGCAATGCCATTCCTGACCGACGCCTTTGACTAAGATCGGCTCAGCTGTGGAAGATTAGGCGTTAGCACGGAGTATTGTACACTGATTCTATCGACTTACATTGCTTCTCGTCTCTGAGGGGAATGTATGGCGCACTTGTTAGCGTGTGCTCCGCTTTCAGGTATGTAGCCAAGCCTTGTCGTTGCCTCCGAAGACTCGCGTTAAGGCGGGCGATATTGCTTTTCAGCTTCTGGCGACCTCACGGACATTGTCCTCTGCTTACCCTCCGGACGTCTCTGCTCACTGTGTACACTGCCCTATCTGAGCATCCAGTATGCCTGTATCTCACTTGGACGTGTTCGAAATCGCGTACATCATCGAGAACGCCAGGCAATTCTGATCAGGTACGCTCCCACATGCATATCGCCTCTCGGAGCCACGTCTCATACCTTTGGACGTGGCTCGCTACTTCAAGACATCGAGCTGAATGTGCATATACTCGATGACGTTGCTCTTTCGAAGCTGCACACTACGCTTCGACATTACATGTCGTTCTGTGCGGCATATCATGGTGAGTGTCCATTATACTTGCTCTCCTAGCGATCCGAATCCTATGGAGTTGCAGAGAAGAGCGAAAATCTGGCCCCTCCCAGCTCGAATAACTCGAATTTCACATCCCTCCACGATGCCTGCGCCTAATTGCATCCGACCGGTCACTGATGTATGCGGCCGCAGCTACCCAGTCAGGCCTCCCACTGCACAGAACCAGTAAAGCATCCTGATCTACGAAGTCTCGTGAAGAGCTCGTCTGGGAGCGCATGTCATTCGCCATGGCTGCAGCAACGTTTCTTATTGGCTGTCGGCTGCACGCGTGCGACACGGTCCTGGCCTCAGAGCTCTTCTCCTTCCATCCGGAGTGGACGCGTGAGGTCGCAGCCTAGGATGCGCTGACGGTGCGTGCCCTGCGTCGGTTCCAAGAACGGTCATCTAATCCTAATCTAACACTACTTCAACTTATCTTCACTTGTCCCTTCAGGTCCGTGCTATTACGTAATCTTGTGCGATGCCATACTCACGCATGTCCGCCCTTCCTGCGTTCTCAGAATCGCTGCTAATTGCTGTTGTCACTCCTCAGACCACGCCTGCAACGTCCTTGATGGCGAGGTCCATGACGCCTCTCATTGCGGTGTCCACCAGGCGAAGTTCAGGTCGCTTGCTGTGCGGCTACTTTACGAGGTGTGTAGGATGTAGGAAACGCCATCTGATGGCTGACCAGGAGTCGTAGGTGTAATTGGACGACAACTCCATAAACCGCCTGTTCTACGTCGTAGAGCAGACTCTAGAGACACAGGGCGAGATGTTCAGAGACTTGGTTATGAAGCCCAGTCGCATCCGCTCCATGCATTCCGCAAACGTCTGATCCTATCTACGACTGCAGGTAACACTGAAAGAGTGAGTCCGAGAGCCTCCGTTCATTCACGCCGGTCGACGATCTTGCAAACTTGCCAATGGCCATGCATGTTCATGCCGATTGGCTGACAGGGCTCGACGAATATGTCCTGCAGCAGCTATCGCGCAACACTGATATGACGTACAATATAGTTACATCAGTCCTCAAAGACCCAGTATACGAGATGTTTATTCACAAAATTCGCCCCGTGTCGTATACTTTCAGGTTCTTATCGGGAATGTGTGGTTCAACCATGCGCGACCGCAACACTTCGAATTGAAGAGGACAAAGCATACATGCCCAGTATCGTGTAGCAAGGTTTGAACTGCACTGTAATTGTACACAGCAACGATCCGAATACAACTCAAATAAATCAGGTTAGGGAGTACGTTCGTCTGTCTCGAGCAATCAACAAATTCATCACTTTACAAGCACAGGCAACCGCACCTAACACTACGTCGCGAGGCAACAGCAACCCAGACCAAGTATGTCGCCGAGAAAATGGCTCTACGAGTCCCAAACCCGTCCGGAACGCGGTCCAACCACGCAGCACAACTCCCTAGCCTCCGCCGTTAACTTCATCGCCCGAATCCCGTGGGACACCCCTTTCCATTATGCGCTTCCGGCTTATTTACGGTGGCGTCTGAGTTGGCATGCCAGGGAGCACGTTATCGTCGGCATCTAGAACGCCTACCCCACTTTCCTCGGCCTCAATGTCTTGTACGTCTGCTTTGCTGTCGACCCGGAATATTTGGCGCTCCTCTTTCGCCTCCCACTCAAGCAACACGGCTGGTGTGGCTTCTAGCATCTCCTCGACGATCTCGATAAGCAGGAAGTAATGTGACGGCGCTGCCCATTTCAGGCCGAGTTTGACGGTGAGCTTCCATGTCGCAAGGGTGAATACGACTTCCTTCATGTTCAGCACTAAGGACCATGGCAGACTCCCTGTACGATCCATCCAACGAACACAGCTAGGATCCGCCTCGATCTCCTCAGCCGCGTCATAAGCATGTTGCGACATCTTGACATAGGCCTCGATCTTCAGCCGCCAACCAGCATCCTCCAAGATATGCCGGGACTCGACTGCGATCGTGTGGTCGTCGTGGAATAGCATGAGCCAGTGAGCGCTCGGTCGGTCCTCATCTGGTCGTCGGAGTTCAGTTGTGTACCCTTGGGTGAGTAGAGCGTTGCGTGTTGCCTCTTCCAACAGCATATTGATAGTCTCGTGCGCCTCCCAAAGAGTGGTACCTCGTTGTATGGTGTTACGCTTCGGGTGGGAGACGTAGACCGTCTTCAGTTGGATGTCATCGCGGCAGCGCTTAATGATTGCCGGCGACAAGGGGAAGAGGTGAGGCCACTGAGTACCTCGGGTTGGCGATGGCTCGATGTTCACACATCCATAGTGCAAGTATTCCACCTCAGCATTGGAAGGCGCGATGTAGCAGGCCCGCCCGAGAAGAGCGCCAGGGTAATCGATGTGTTCGCAGCCAAGAAGCGCAAGGTCCATCGGGACAATAGACCATATGAGGAAGACTGCTCTAGTATGTGCTGGGGAAGACAACGTGAGAGTTGTAGGACTGGCAATGTCGTACGTATGCCGTGCGGGGTGAAGGTGTACTCCTGATCCGGGAGTTTCTCGGAGAGCTTGAGCTGGTTCAACACATCGTTGTGAGAGATGGCATTGATTGTTCCAGAATCGGTGAAGTCGCTGAGTTTTGAGTCAAAAAGAGATTCAAGAGATGTCCCCATAACGTTACCCCATATGCAAGTCAGCTTTCCGGCATTCTTCAGCGAGTCCCCAAGATCCTGGTCGCGCTCAAGATCCGCGTAGATGTCACCCCATGCGAAGATGCTCTGGTCGGGGATCCGACGCACAATCTCCTCTAGTAGTCGGTGGAACGCACGTTCTCCTTCCCCATAGAGTGTAGGCATGTTGATATTGAATATTCCCAGCAGGGAATATGCTCGGTCTTCCTTCCTTGTGGTCTCCCGCCGCGCTGCCCATGACAGTCGTTGAGCCACGCTGAAGTCGTCGAGCGACTTTGAGTGAAGCAGCGCCTCTGCGAAGATACCTGTGATCTCCTCGAGGGGACTAATCAGCGTGAGCTTCGTTCCAATGGCATTCCAGTCCTGGGAGAGGAACACCACAGTTGAAGGGGCGATGAGCTCCTGGAGCGTCCACCCGCGCGTGAACCATCGGCTCTTACGGAACGTGGATTCAGCCGCACGAGGGTCGTCGCCAGAGGGGACGTCAGCAAGGTGGGCGAAGCACACCTTCGCACGGCCGTACCACTGCCACATCGAGTTGATCGATTCGGACAACTCGGAGCTGCTCGTCTTGTCGATGCAGCAAGAATCGATCCAGAGGTACCTGTACCCAGCCTCGCGTGCGACTCTGCAGGCGTCTCGGATCTTCCGAGAGAGGTTCGCGTCACGCCAGATGAGATGATCATCCGGCACGAAGCTGGACGGGGAGTCGGGGGATGGGGAGGGTGGGCGGGAGGGATTAGGGGACGAGTACTTGGCGTCGGATGGGCCTCCATAGTCCGCCTGGACGAGCTTCAGTTCGTCGTACGTCTGCTCCTTCTTCCTCCAGGTGTGTGACAGAATGGCGAACTGTTTCCTCTCCTGATCTACCTCCACGAACAGTCCCGACCATGTGTCCAGGACGCGCATGATGGTTTCGCAAGCTTTCGAAAAACTGTCCGTGAGTCGGCATAGGAACAGAGATACGTCAACCCGCACCAGTAGATTTGCCAAGTGATTGTCGGACGTAGATGTAGCAGGGGACGCAGATGATAGAGAAATCCCGAGATGACGAACACGACTGAGGACTCGCAGGCTTTAGGAACGGAGAAGTCGCAGTAGATGAAGGCTCGCTGTGCGGTGCAGCAGTGCAGCGGTGCAGTAAAGTTCAAGATCTCTCAACAGGACAGGGGGTGAGACGCACACGTGTCACTATCGTGAGACATCCGACCACATGAGAGACGAGGATTAAGGAACGACCAGATAGAAGCGGCGCTGAACACAACTTCCATGCTTACAGTCCACATGCGTGGTGGACCACACCCCCTCGTGTCTGATCGGTCGCGTCGAACACAGCGGATATGGTGCCAGAGCAATAATAGCATTGAAGGGCTCTTCACTTTCATGAAGGGCGGTAATAGACTCTTTCTGCAAGCGGTTCAGAACCAGACCAAATCTTGGTGATATCTGAACCAGTGGGGCTGGTGTGGCTGTTGGACATGACCTTAACCGCCCCAATAGGCGTCTCAGAAAACCTTTGTCGCACACTACGGTAGGCCAGAATTCAAGGAATCAAACTTCCATACCAGCTCACCGCATGAATAAATTTAAACCGTGCTCAAAAGTACTGAGAAGACCCTGCCCCATGTAGCTTCAAGGGACGACCATTGTGGTACACGCGAGACGTTGTGGAGCACAAAGCGTGAAGGCCCCACTGATTCTGAACCTGGAGTGCTTACAAATTGAACTACCCCGCTGATTCTGAATCGCCTGCAGAAAGAGTCTAATGCGATGCGTACGACACTTCGACATTCGTACCAACTCGCGCCAGCGTCTCCGTCAAGCTTCTGTCACATACGAGGTTCCTGAAACATTCTGGATGAGCATCGGAAAGTTCGAGGCCTGAGACTGGTCATAGGATCGCCCATACCCTCTCGTGCGTTCGCGGTGACATCCTCCCTGCAGTGGTGGCGGCGACCATTGCACATGGACTCGCACGTCCACCAGACCGTTGTCAAAGGGTCGACCCTACATCTCATCGGATGGCATCGCTAACCCGAGCAGCTCTACCCTGGACCCTTCTCATTGGTCTGTCAAACATCGTTCTCAGGCGGCTAGATTGTCCATCTCCCGCTGTCAAAGGCTCAATTTACGCTTACAGTTGCCTTACCAGAAGAAACTATGGATTCTTCGCGGAGGAATGTATCGATTCGCAATCAGTACATTCATGTGCCTCGTTAATGGGCACATCTTGTCCGCTGGGCGATAGTCGCCTCGTGCCACGACTGTGGTCCACATTTCAAATTTCAGCCTCGAGCATGGGTGAAGGTACCCAGAAAGTATGGAGTCACCATTCTAATTTTGCGCTGTACTGGGCATTTCCGAATGATCTTGCCAAAAAACAACTTGAACTCGAGGGCCATCAGCTGTGAGTACTATCGGACATCATGATGTGTTGGCGGTCGTCCATCGGAGGTGCTGGAAGATAATCAAGCAAGATAATTTCAGGGATAGCACAGACGAGCGACTTATGGAGCAAGACGTTGAGTTGTAACGGAAGTCGTTCTGTACAGAGGGTGACTTCGGGAATCCCCGGGCGCCAACTTATGGCAAATTGAAACACGTTCCCGGGCGCGCCTACGACGCCGACGTCTCTCAGGCTACCAGGCAGCCTGACATGCTATCTCAAGTTGTCTCTTTGTGCTGTGGACGCCCATTAAATACTGTATCGCTCCTTTGCCCCCAGCGACTCCGTAGCTACATACTCAGGCGACTTGCGGCTGTTTCCCTGATGACTCCGCCACCTATCATGCTCTACTTCGCCTCGCCTCCGAACACCATCATCTGAACACTTATGCATCCGTCTACGTTGCTCATCACTCCTCATATCCAGTAGTACCGCTCAGAATTGGCTGGATCTCGGAGCCGCCCGTATCTCGTACCTCCGGATTTTGAGTCACGTCCCCCAAGACGCTGTGCATCCGTTACTGATGCGTCACGTCTCTCAACAGGCAGGCCTCGCGAGTGCACGCTGACCATCGCCAACCGCCGCAACGCGTGTGCTTGCATCAGGAGTATATCTCTTTCAAAAGCCGTCGGTCTCCTCGAGCCTAGCTATATATAAAAATGCCGCAAGGCGATATATCAAGTAGCCTAAGGCGGACTACCGCTGGAGTTTCACGATATAATTCATTTATGCCTCCCATCTCGGCGACTCTAGCGCACAACGGGGACGTGGCACAAGTCGCGCGTACTCCACAATTTCAGAGAGGCTTACTCATAAACATCGTCGCGGATATCGGACTCTCAGACTGCAATTGAGAGCACCCTCAGGTGTATGACAATGGTGTTGAAAAATGACAACCCGCTTCGCAAAATGTGCGGGCGTGAGACATCGCGC